GCCCTCAAGAGAGACGCCAACACCATCGTCATCTTCATCCCAGGCGGGTTGACGCCCTTGCTCCAACCGCTCGACCGCATGCTCAACAAGCAGATGAAGCGGCTGCTGCGGGGCAAGTACACCGCCTACAGCGCGTCGGCGGTCGCAGACGCCCGGTCGGGGAAGCTGAAGCCACCGGAGCGTGGGGTCGTCTCTACGTGGTGCAAGGAAGCGTGGGAGTCCATCACCCCCGAGACGGTGAAGACTTGCTTCAAGATCTGCGGTCTGACGCTCGCGCTCGACGGCAGCGGAGACCACGCCTGGTGCGAGCACAAGTTCGGGAAAGACTACCGCGACCTTCTCGAGGAGCAGCACGCCGTGTGGCTCGCTGAGCACCCCGACGTGACTCTCCCGCCGCTCAAGCTGCCGAAGGTACCAGGGGGGTTCGACTCCAACCCCATCACGGCTGCTCAGAAGCAGGTCGAGGGGAAGCTGCTGCCCTACGTCGCTGATGAGAGCGACACCGAGGTGGAGGTCTTGGAGGGCGACAGCGACGTGGAAGTCGTGGAGGGGCAGGGGGGCGGGGGCGGCGAAGGAGAAGTAGTCGAACTTTGAATCATAGTTCTTTGGGATTGCCAGTGAGATTGGATGTTTTTGCGATGGTAGGGGCGCGGGCACGAAGTAGAGTTCAACCCGCCTAGGAAGTACAGTAGTAGGACGTTGGTAGCTCGTAGTGGTAGTTTGGTGTGATTTTTTACTTCGTTTTTGGTTTCATGTGCGTTTAGAATTGTTGAGTGGATGCCGTTTGCCGATTTGCCGATCTTGGTTCTTCAGAACGAAAAGGAGAGAACAAAGAGTACAAATACCACATTTTTCAACATCGTCATGGTGCCAAGGGCAGCAGTAGCAGTGGAGCACGCGATTCAAGCTCCCACAGTATCCAGAATTTCCAGCACAAGATGCTGGTGAAAGGGTATCACTTACCGCCAAACCTCGCCGCACATATCGGCGTCTCCGATACCCGTGCAATAATCTAGCAAATCATTCGGAACCCGCTTTTTTTCCGCACACCCTGCGCCAAGACCCCGATATGTGCCGAGACCCCGATATGCGCCAAGACCCCGACGATTACGGTATGCACAGGTACAGAGACCTGTACCTCCTGCCGCTTCCTCCTGCCTCTCGCAGACCTCTCGCCTCTCGCAGACCCCTGTACAACACCTGCATGGGTATGTGTCATCAAGATGCGGTACTACTACATAGGTCTAGCCGTCGGTGGGAGGATAAAACGGTTTTCATTTTTCGTTTGCTTCATATAGGGTTAAAAATGGGCTGGTACTGGCGGGCACCGCAAAGGCTGAAGGCTGAAGGGACTGACCGGTTCGTTTGTCGGGTTTGATTCGGTGGAGTTCCGGTGTCGGTACGCACGTATGCTCAGGGCGGACAAGGGGTGCTGAAGTCAGCTGCACGTAAAGGCTCTTGCCGACTTGGTGGTACACATGTTTCTCTCAGTGCAAGCATGCTCAGTGCGAGAAAGATATCGCAGTGCACCGTTTCGAGATTAAGCCCATTCCAAGCGCCACAGCAGTAGACCACGCGCCAGGAATCAATCACATGAAAGCGAAAGAGATATGGTGCCAAGTACGCCAAGAGAGGCGACACGCCAGGAATCGATCACGTCAGCTCGTAAAGAGAGGGATACAGCAGTAGTTCTTACGGGTCCGGCTGACGCGGACGCCTCCCGTGCCCAGTACTCATCACGTCATCTTTTCGGAGAACAGCGAAGAAGGATTCATGGGCGATGGCACACACACACATGTCTCTTTTGTGATCAACAGCGCTCAATACAAATCGCCCGTCAAACCGCTCTTTCCCAGCACGACGAAGACCTCCCCGGGGACCCCAGCCGCCACGACAGCCGGCTGCCGATGTCCAGAAGAAATTTACTGGAAAATGCCAAAGGAACCGCGCTAGGGATAGGCCTTGCCGGGCCGATGCGAGGGACAGCCCTCCGACGAGCTTCCGCTGTCCGCACTGTAGGAGCGGTGGCTGCGGGAAGTTGGGGGCTAGGGCTGGGGCGGGAGGGGGTTCGTCCCGCCGAGGCGTTCGGGGGTCCGAGCAGGCCGTTGAGTAGGTGAGGGCGCTCCTCTTCAATCAAATCTTTCCGTGTACCTTTTCGACCCCAACAGACACAGGTTAGTAGGCCGCATGGTCAAACCCCCCGACAGGACACCCTTGAAGAAATGGCCGTGTGTGTGTGTTGTATATTTAGTATTTTTATTAAAGCACAACGAATCCATCTCTATGCACTGATGGACGTTTGTTGCTCTGTGTTTTTTGTAGAGAACACCTTCATAAATCTACAATCTCCCCAACGTCTGTCGAGGACGATCCCGCTTTTCACATTCCTGGCGTCGCGATGAGATGTCTGCTTTCAGGGAAGAGAACGCGGGTTCGAACCCGCCGCTCGCCATCTTTATTTGTTTCCAAGAAACTGAAAAAAGTGGTGTATGACCAATGACAGATTTCCGAACTCGTGGAACTTTTAGGGTGACTTGGCGGACGTACAGTGTAGGGAACCCATGTATTCACGCACAGAAGATTGTGAAGAAGTGGATCGACGCCAGCCAATCGGGTTTCAGTTGGCCCATGAAGCCTTTTGGCCAGCAAACGGTAAACCAGGACTCAACTCACCCGGTGGTAAGCCAGCAAACGGTAAACTAAGAAACACCTACCCCGGTAACCCAACACACGGTTAACGAGGACGTGGATGGAACGAAGACATTTACTTTGAAGGGCACTGACCTCCCTCCCGATCTCCCTCTGGAGGGTCTGTCTCATGAAGATTTTCCTGAAAAATGGCTCTTTATTGGCACGCATCGGTCTTTTGTCCGCAGACAACATATCTCAGGGCACAATCGATCACCGCCGCAATCAAACATCTCGCGCTCTTCGTGCGAGGCGCAGCAGCTCAAAGCCTTAGCCTCATGCTTAGGTCATCCCTCGAATAGCGACCGCCGTCCCAGCTACAGAGTTTCGTGCACGTGGGGGAGCCTCCGATAGACGGATAAGAGAGAAAAACGGTGGGTGTGCTAAGGAAGACCCACTGGCTATCGAATAAGGTACTTCTGATAACGTGGCGGGCATAGGGAACCGGTGTAATCACGCACAGAGGATTATGAAGAAGTGGACCGCCCCGTCGCCAGCCGGTCGGGTTCCGTTTGCCCCTAAAAGACTTCTCTTGCCTAGCAAACAAGGAGACATTCCGAAAAAAGGGGCGGAGAATGTGGAGACCACCTTCCAAAAGGTACAACATACCCAACGTCGCTCGAGTCCGATCCCCCCTTTTCACATTTTGCGTATTTCCGGGACGCAATAACCATGGTGGAGGAAATGCCGTGTACATAGGAAAGGTTTACATCAGCGTCCAACGCGACGACTCGAAACGTGCATCCGCCTCTTTTTTTTCGCACTCGCGCGTGCGGAACAAAAGGTGTCTGGTGAACGCCGTCAACGCTCGCGAGTTTTGCGGGCGGTTAGAGGCAGACCTAGCCGCCGGGCGCAACGAGCAAGAATGTAGAGGGATGGTTAAGGGGGTGTTGCGAGGCCTTAGCCTCCAGGAGTCGATCAAGGACGCCGTCCTCTACCTTCCCCGAGGAAAACGCCAGGTGCGAAAATGCTAGGAAATTTCTTGGTTTCGTTGGGGGTTGGGGGTTTGGGGGGAGTTGCGTTTCTGGGAGTCAAGTCATCTCACGGGCCCAAGTCAGGCTGGAGAAAAGAAGGGGAGACGCAGAAGTCATGTTTTCATCATTTGGGGGTGGGAGTGGGTTGGAGGTAATTGGAGAGGTGCTGTTTTCCTGGGAGTCTATTGTTCGCAGGCTCCACCCGACCCGACCTGAGGCGATTAGGTAATGTTTTGGTTCCTCCGCTTTGAATTTCCGCGTGGTGGTGCATGAAACAGTATCAATTAGCTTTATACTTGAAGTATCTTTTCTGTCGATTTTAGGTGCTTGGCTAAGCTCTTCCGCAACGTCGGCTGTTGTTTTGGAGTTGTGTTGTTGATATTTGAGCAATCTATGCTACAGTTGTTGCTAGTGTGCAGTTTCTGCTGCTAGTTTTTGGCGAACACCTTGACCACATCAATGCCATCTACATCAGCTCGTCTCCGGAAACTTGGCTGATAACGACGGCAGGTGGCAGGCGACGCCGGACAGTCGGCAGTGGAATATTTAGCGTCGGTGGTAGAGTTCGATGCCTGGGACAAGCTTGACAAGGACTGGACTTCAAACGTCGCTTTGAGGAACATGACGCCTGAGAATGTGAGAGTCCTTTTGCACATCATGTCTCCAGACCACAGCAAAGCGCCAGTATTTGAGATAGTTTTGGCCTAGGATGGGGTTCGTTTTTTGGGCTACAAAATAGCCGCTAGATTTATGTTGAAGCTTTAGTGTACAGTAGTTTGTTTTGGCGGGCTCATATGTTGTGCTGAACTTCCTACGCTTGAGATACAGAACGCGCCCGCACTTCATCAAGAACTTTGCAGTTAGTGAAGAAAATCATAAAGCCTAACCCTCGAAGTCTAAGAACTTGGAACTTGAACACCGTTTGTGAGCTCCGTTAAGAACCCCTACACGAAATCCCATATGTAGCGGCCAGCACAACCCTAGGAACTAAGATCCCCATCTTCGGCGAAAACTATGATAGAAGTTCTTAACCCGACTCCACCGACATCGTGGAGGTTTCGCCTCTGCAGAACAGGCTCTTATTCTCGTTTTATCTTTCCCGGCTGTGACAGGTTTTGTTCGTGCGCATGGCGTTGGACGCATCGGCGTCAGCCTTGGACACTTTTCTGGGCCAGTTCGACAGCGCCGACGTAGATTCCGCGAGGGAGTTGTATAGACTGTGAGTGCAAGCCCCACCGACTTGCGCCTGAAGAACAGACATCTGTGTGCACGTGGCAGATAGGAGTACTCGGGAACTTATTGGGTTTCGCCTGCTTTCGAACCTTTCTTCCGGACTGCCGGTTTCGCCTTCATTTGTTGGGTCGTCGAGATGCCACCGCCGAAAAATAAGTTTCCATCTTTCAACAACCCCGTCTAAACCTAGCATGATGCAACTCGTTTGATGTTTACCCACCTTGCGTAGTACGACCAAGTTACGATAGGTTCAGGGTATACCCAACATCTGCCCTAGCGATGTATGCGGCAGCTCCGAAGGTGGTTTGGGCACACGGGTATTCCATCCCCAACTCTGCGTCGCCGCTCTCATGGGCAGTCTGCCTTGTTCGCACTCGTCCCAAGGATTGGGACACATACACGTGTAACGAAATTTTCGTCAACCGCTCACGCTATTGGGTCGGAACACCGCCTCGACAAAAAACGTTGTTTTTGTCAAAAATTCGCTCACGCTTTACCCCCCAAAACCATCATGTACTGGATCACAGGTACTTCCTTCCCGCCGAAGAGAGAGAGCAGCCCACCGAGACCTGAGTCTCTGTGGTTGTTGGAATCGATGAAAAAAATGGCGCTGAGTGAACGGCGGCAAAATATCTAGGCCTCAGGCTATTTACAGATAGGCCGGAGATGCAAAGAGGCGTGAGGGGGGAGCAAAGAGACAAGGCCTCTTCACGTCCTAAGTTTGCAGCCGTTGTACAACTGCATGTATGCGGTGAAACCAGTTCGAAATACTCTATTGTTTTCGTACATGTGGTGGGCATTCTACCTGTACAGAATCGAAGTACCGAAAGTGCACCCGGCAAAAGAGGTAAATCATTTGAGATTCTTGCATTTTTTGCGGCGACTGGCTGGTCGAAATGCAGAGCAATGGAAAAATTAGCAGTTTTCGGGTCCGTTCATCCAATGGCGGGCATTGTGGAGAGTAAGGGGGGAGCTGTTCACGATTTGTTTACGGTCGGTGTTGTGCAATTTGCCATCGATTATGTGGCGGACGCCAAGCTACACTGCCCGCAAACAGTCGTTGTTGGCACGTACGTGTGGGTGAACAACGTCCCGTACGTTGGGTAAGGGTTCGAGCATACTGGTGGTCTAGCATGGCAAGGTAGAAGGACAAAGGGAAGCCTCACGCAATGCGCTTTGCGAATCTCCCCAAGAAGTTGTCCACAACCGGTTTGTCACCATTGATCTTCGACGTTTTGGTTGCGAACGAATGCATGTGCATGCGTATATTACGTCCGCGCGACAGGTACATGCCTATACCTCGAAACGATGTGGTCTCACAACTGTGTGGGTTGGACAAAATCACTTGAGACCACATGTATTTCGTAGTCTACACAGTTCGGACTGATGGTATCATAACCAAAAACGGAGATCATGTACATGCTGCCGAAAGGGATCGCGGTACGCCCGTTCACGGTCAGCGCCGCCGTCCAGACGTTCAAGCAGACAGATCGGTTTGTGTACCTCGGACGTACCATCTCCGCGGACGGGAAGGCCGACAGGGAGATCACGAGCCACAGCTGCCGAGCGTGGAAGTGCTACCGCCGGAACAGTGCTTCGATGTACGACAGGCGACGGGCCGACCGCCAGCTCAAGATCCGGCTACTCCAGGCTGAAGTGGTGGAGACTCTCCTGTATGGGTGCGCCTCGTGGAGCCTTACAGCGGAGCACTACACGAAGCTCAATGGGACCCACCGCCAGTTCCTTAGCTGGAGCAAGCGGAAACGCTCAGACCGCCCCCTGTCCTATGCCCAGGCCCTCATCCAGGCAGGCTGCGAGGAAATTATCGAGACCACCGTGGGCAAACGGAGACTGTGTTTCGCGGGCTTTGTTATGCGCATGGAGGACAGCCGCCTCCCCAAGCACATGCTGGGGGGCGTGGGATACCGGGGCGGGCAGGAGAGCGACTGGGTGTCTCGTCTAGCAGAGGACCTCGTGGCCTTCAACATTGGAGACGAAAAGGAAGGGGGGAAATGGAAAGAGAGCGCCAAGGACCCCGAGGGGTGGTACAACAAGGTCGAGGACGGGGCGGCATGGTTCATGAGGAAATGGCACAGGCAGGAGGCGGAAGCGTCCGCGAAGCGCCAGCGCGCGAGGGAAGCAGAAGCAGAGAGTAAGGCCATCTCAGGACCGACGAGAAAGAGAGTCGGGGAAGCGGCGGTGAGGGGGAAGAAACGGCGACCGGACGCTGCTGCTGTAGAAGCGAGTAGGGCGGCCGAGGCAGCACTTGTGGCGAACTATGTACCCGGCTGATGTTGTTGCGCCCTGTTTCCCGCCCTGCTGTATGCTATACTCCTCTGTGTATGTCCTTTGAATTGCCTTCGGCCTCTGTGCTGTGTTTCTTTTTTTTCATGTTCTCCCTGCCTACTCTGCTGCGTTGGGTACCTTGATCTCGCTTTTGCTGTTGCTTTTGTTTTTTGTACATCTATTACGGTGGAACATAGTAGTCAAGACCAAATTGGAATATTGTGTATCTTCGTCAATACGGAGTCCCCTATCACAAACTATAGCGCAAACTGACGACAAAGCACAGAGCTCTCTAAAAAAAAAAAAAAAAATCACCTTGTCTTCGAGTAATATTACGAAATTAGTGTGTGTGATCGCACCCGGCGAAGTTCCAAAAATGTTGAAGCGCGGTGTTCCAACGATGCGGCCCCAGGGCTTGCACAAGTAATCCATATATTGATTGAACAGGATGATACAGCCATCTCAATTGCGAAATATCAAACAATATGTCAGCTTGCACTCAGAATGGCGCCTTCTGTGCAGCCCCTTCGTGTCGCTGTTCGGGAATCAAAGTCGAAAAATATTGGCCCAAAAAGGGCATCTGTTTTTGGCTTTTTTTTTTTTTTTGGCATTTTTTTTCAGCCCTCAATGGCATCTTCCGCGTCCTCACCCAGCCACTCATCCGTCTGCTCCTCCACCCCATCCTCTATCTCATCCTCGGCCGTAGCCTCTTGGTACTAATCAAACAATATGTCAGCTTGCACTCAGAATGGCGCCTTCTGTGCAGCCGCATCGTGTCGCTGTTCGGGAATCAAAGTCGAAAAACATTGGCCCAAAAAAGGGCATTTTTTTTGGCATTGTTTGATGGCATTTTTTTCAGCCCTCAATGGCATCTTCTGCGTCCTCACCCAGCCACTCATCCGTCTGCTCCTCCACCCCATCCTCTATCTCATCCTCGGCCGTAGCCTCTTGGTACTCTGCCACTGGATACTCAAGGCTACCGATCGTACCGCTCAGGTTTCCACCATACAGGCCGATCCACTCGTCCATCTTGCCAATGGCATGCTGCACCAACTTTCCACAGTTGGCTGCCTTCCACCCCCTCTCCTGACCGTCCCATTCCGGGTCTCCATACCAACCGAGACGGATTTGCTTCCAGACATCCAACATGTTCCGCCCCTTCTCAAAATGAATGCTCACGTAATGCTTGCCGTGCTGCCAGAACAGCTCGATCGGGTGGAAAGTCGGCGTGTACGGCAGTGTCCAAATTAACCCCCACCCCTTCTCCCTCATGTACGTCTCAGCCTTTTCCTCGAGCTTTTGTGGAAAATTCTTTTTGAAGTACGTCCGAGTGACGGAGGCTATCTCTTCTTTGCTGACGCCGTTCTTGCGGTTCGCATTGGGTAGCGACCCCTGCGCCGGGACCTCAAAGTTGACCTCAGCAGCCTTACCCTCCGACTCACGCGTCACCTTGAACGACGTGCAACCGTACTTGCGCAAGAGTTCGACGTTGTACTTCTTACTGTTGGTTTCGGGCACCTTAACCTCCTCGTCAAAGCAGTGGTGGTATGAGGCGTTATCGAGAACGAGAAACATCTTCTTGTTCTTGAACTGCGCATCGAAGGCCGGGGTAAGTCGGTGCTTCAACCACTGCATGAACATCCCATCCGTCATGGCGTTATGATAATCTCCGGTTGCCAACTTGGCCTGCCACAGAAATTCTGCTGTCTGCTCATCTGACATTTCGAAATCCGCCTCGCCAGGCTTAATCTTCTTCGCACGATTTTCCTTAGCCTTGAACCAACCCTCACGGATAGGAAATCCCTCCTGTAGCTCGGCCAAGGGCCCGTGCTTCGTGATCGCATGCACCATGATCATACGCAAACCTTTCCCCGTTGTACGGCCTATCCCATCCTGCACAACCCCCTTATCGTCAGAAGGAAAGTACGAGTACGCGGAACCATGCGCCTGGTGAACAAAGCTCTCATCCATGTACACAATGACTGCGACCCCAGCGTCCTCGGCCCTCTTCGCGAGGTCCATCTTAACAAGGAAGAGGCGGATGCGGTTTTTCCTCTCCTCGTTCAACGGGGGTATTTTGATCCTACCCCTACGGCGCTTGAAGCCAAGGCGCTGCAGCAACCCTCCCACGGCACGATTCGACATCTCTAATCCGAACGAACACTGCAAGTATTAATAATCCTTGACGGTACGGAAGACCTGACGTCCCGCCTCGTGCTCGCCCTTGATGAACTCGCGCAGTCCATCCTCTTGCTCCTTGGT